GAGTATTCAAGTACAAGTACTTTTATTGCTGAAGTATAAATAGAGAAATTCAATTTACTTTTTGCAATTAAATGTAAAACCATATGGCCAATTGGTATATACTCATAATTACATTTCAGCTGGACAAAATTCATTGTATTAAAGATTTACAATGGAAGGCATCAATGAAGATACATTAAATGACATCCGTAAGTAGTTTGAGCACATTTTGTGTACTTTAGTGTAGTTTTCCACAGCTTATTCAACAATAATACTACTTTTAGTTGACGCCATTCAAGCCGTCGATCCTGAATTTATCGTAGCAGTGGACAACGATTACATTCAGCAACCGTACGTTGAGATTTTAGAGCAGCCGGCTAAAGCGCTACGATTTCGCTATGAAAGCGAAAGCTCGGCCAGCAGCGTATTTGGTGTCAACAGTACACCGGAGAACAAAACATTCCCTAGTATACGAGTGAGTTATAATCGTTCGGAGTGAAGCTTTATTGAGTTTTTCTTCTTGTTTCTTACTCATGCTTATGATATTCCTATAGATTGTGGGCTACCAAGGTCGCGCTATGGTGGTTGTGTCCTGTGTAACAAAGGACGCTCCATATAAACCTCATCCACACAATCTCGTTGACAAAGAGGTGTGCAAGCAGGGTGTTTGTACGGTAGAGATTCCGTCATCAAATATGGCTATTACTTTCTCGAATTTGGGCATTCAATGTGTAAAAAAGAAAAACATCGAAGAGGCTCTCAGAGTGCGTCAGAAGTTACGAGTGGATCCTTTTGGAAGTATGTACGTTTTTTTTTCGAATTTATTTTTTTATCAATTTAAGGGGGTAAAACACTTTGACCAGCCTGAAAAATAAAGATTTTTTGATCTTGGATTGCAGGAAAAGTATAAATACGATCCACTTGTAATTTGGCATTTTATTAATACATATATTAAACTTGTTACGTTTCAAATTTTATTGAAAAATATTAATCTCTCGAGGAAATACAGCAAATCCGCGTAAAATGTGCATTTTTAAACGGTGTACATATATGATTCCGCTATTTTAATTATTCTGAAACAAAAAATCGAAATAGTTTCATAAATTACAAGATCGGAAGAGCACACGTCTGAACTCCA